GCGTCAGAGGTTCGCGGCCGCGCCGTCGCGGCGGGGGCCGGCTGCGCCAAGCGCCCCACTCTGAGATGGCGAGGCTCATGCGGTCGTGCCTGCTGGCCGCGGCGGCCTACGCGGCCCTCCGCGCTCTCTGCTGCTCCTCCTCCTCCTCCTCCTCCTCCTCCTCCTCCTCCTCCTCCTCCTTGTCCTCCTCCTTGTTGTCCTCCTCACTTTTCCCCACCCCTTGTCCTCTTCGTCATCCTCCTGCTCCTCGTTGTCCTCCTCCTCACTTTCCGCCACCCCTCCTCCTCCTCCTCCTCCTCCTCCTCCTTCTCCTCCTCCTCTCCATCCTCCTCCTCCTCCTCCTCCTCCTCCTCTTCCTCCTCATCCTCCCCCCTTCCTCCTTCCTTGCCCTCCTCCTCCGCCTCCTCCTCCCTCCTCCTCACTCCTCTCCTTCCTCCCCCTCCTTCCTTCCTCCTCTCCGGTCCCCCTCTTAGCCCCCTCTCCTCCTTCTCTCCTCTTCGCTCCCTCCTCCTCCTTCTCCTTCTTCTCACTGTCCCCCACCCCATCCTCTTCGCTTCCTCCTCCTCATCCTCCTCTCTCCTTCCCTCCTCCCTCCTTCCTACCCCTCCTTACTTCCTCACTCTACTCCTCCCTCTCCTCGTTCTCCTTCTCCTTCTCTCCCTCCTCCTTCTCCTCCTCCTCCTCCTCCTCCTCCTCTTCCTTCTCGTCCTCCTCGTCCTCCTCCACCTTCTTCGCGCTTTCTGCTCGTCCCCGCTCCTCTTCATGTTCTTCCGGGATCTCGGACGACCTGATCTTTCAATCCGGGCGATGTTTCTCTACAGTCGAGTATCTGATTAAGAAACGTCCTCCCGAAACGCTGGGCCAGCGTTTCTTAGCCCTTGCCGGAAAGCTGGCCCAGTCTCTTGAGCACGTTCGCACCTCCAGCGACAACAGCAGGACTTGGCCCAGGTTTATGTTAAGAAGCTTCTGGTAAGCTGGCCCAGATTCCAAATTTCTAGTTTTCTTTGATCATATGTTTAATTGTATTTCAGCCTCTGGGGACCGCTTTCGGGTCCCGTGGCCACCATCACTGGATCCGGTATCCAGATTACTCTGGGGTCTCGTTATGCTGCGCAGGGCGTCAGTGCTGCGCAGGGTAACGTACCCCCACTCGTGGGAACTTCCATCAGCCACTCAGTAGTTCCATTATGTGTTTTTCATCGCTTCCATGCCGTCGTAAAAAAAACTGACCCCATGGAAGGGGTCGGGACCTCCGAGGATTCGGATTGAACTCGTCATCTTAAGGATGTCGGGGATCTCGTCGCCCCTCCCTCCAGTCGCCCTCCCTCCATCTCCGCTCCTCGCGCTCCCTCCTCCTGCACGCTCTCCTCGCTCCTCGCTCCTCGTCCCTCCCCCTGGAGAGGTCGTAAGATCGTAAGAGGTCTAGGGTCGTTGCTGTCGCCGCTGTCGTCGTCGTCGTCGTCGTCGTCGTCGTCGTCGTCGTGGTCGTCGTGGTCGTCGTGGTCGTCGTGGTCGTCGCGGTCGTCGTGGTCGTCGTGAACGTGGTCGTGGTCGTGGTCGTGGTCGTGGTCGTTGTCGTGATCGTCGTCGTCGTCGTCGTTCTGGCCGTCGTCCTGACCGCCGTTGTCGTCGTCGCCGTCGTCGTCGTCGCTTTGCGGCATTTGTCCATTCTGGGTCCTCCGAAGATTTCTTCGTGTCTCCTCGTTCTTTCTCCACGTTGCCTGCCCCCCTCTTCCACAATCTCTTCTCCCTCTCCTCCCTTTCCCACTTCTGAGCTGATCATCCTACAACGAACCCACCGTCTGGAAACAACAGCTCCTTAGAAGATTTCAGAACCACCGAGAACGCAGGGGACCTCCCTGTGTACGGCGGCGGCGGCGACGGCGATGGCGACGACGCTGAGGGATCCGGCGTCCTCTGCCTGGAAGTCTCTGGATGGTCGGCATGGCCTCCAGGGCCTGCCAAACTGCCAAAAACCAGAGCAACCCCAATAGCGTCGACGCTTCTTGAGGACGGCGACGGCGAAGACGGCGACCGACGACAACGCCGTTGACCACGACGATTGGTGAGAGACGATGACGACAGTGACGACGACGAGGATGACAACGACGATGAATGACAACGAGGGCGATGATAGCGAGGACCACGTCGACGACGACGGCGGCGGCGACGACGACGACGACGACTCCGACTAGGACCGACGACGACCGCGACGACGATGACGGCGAAGACGCCGGCGCCGACGACGGCCTCTGGCACCGTCCAGGAAACATTTGGAAACATAAGAACTTCCAAAGCAATTGAAAACACATTGAACAGAAGCACTACCGCCAAAAACCTCCGAATGCATCCGAAACGCCGTAAGCCTCTGTCGACGACGGTGGCGGCGACGGCGACTATGGCGACGATGAGCGTCGACGGTGGTGGCAACGCCGCAGCCGCCGCCCTTCGCGCCACTGCCTGGGCCGCCAAAGGGGCGTCGCAGGTCCGCCGAGGGTCCGCCGAGGGTCCGCCGATGAGCCGCCGAAGCGCCGCCGAGGGGCCGCCGAAGGGCAGCTCAGCGCAAATCCAGTTGCCGAACAAGTTCTAACAAGTTTTTCGGGCTGCGTCCTGCCGTTGCGCTGAGAATCCACAGAAACGCTCCAGCTGCTGAACTAACGACGGCGGCGGAGGCGGCGACGACCGACGACCGACGCGGGCGACGACCGACGGCGACGACCCGCGACGGCCAACGGCGACGACGTCGGCTACCACCGACGACGACGGCAAGCGACGACGGCGACGGACGACGACAGACGACGACGACGACGGACGACGACGACGGCGGCGACGACGACGGCAACGCCTTCGACCGACGACCGACGGCTGAGGACCGTGCCGTCGTCGACGACGGCCACCGACGCCCGCGACCCGACGACCGACCCGCGGCAGCCGCCGGCGGCGCAGCGAGGCCCTCGCCGCCCTCGCGGCGCTGCGGGTGCCGACCTCGGCCGCCTTCCTCGCGGCCGCCCCCGCCGCGGGCCGCCGCGAGGCGCCGCCCGCCGCTGCCGTCGCGGCCGCCGCCGCCGCCGTCCTCGGCGGCGGCGTCGGCGTCGTCGTCGTCGTCGCCGACGTCGTCGTCGTCGTCGGTCTTCGTCGGCGGCGGCGGCGGCGTCGGCATCGTTGACGACGTCGTCGTCAGTGTCATCGTCGTCATTGTCGTCGTGATCGTCGTCGTCGTCGTCGGCGTCGTCGCCGCAATCTTCGTCGTCGTCGTCGTCGCCATGTCTGCGGGCTCTTGAGAGCGTCTCGGGAGCTGTTTGGGGTCTGGCGGAGCCTCTTGGAGGCAGTTTTGAAGCGTCTTGGGGCCCGTTTGGGGCTTCTTTTGGGCCTCTTGGGGGCCTCTTTGGGCTTATTTGGGGCCTCTTTTCGGCCGCTTGGGGGCTTCTTGCGGCCGTTGGGGTGCCTCTTGGGGGGGAAGATCTGATTTTCGGTTTGTGTTCTCCCTCTTTGCCTTTTTGGGGGCCTGCGATCTTTGGCCGTCTTGCGCTCCACTTTGGGCCGTCTTGGAACCCTCGTGGGCCGTCCTGGGGCCCTTTAGGGGCCTCTTGGACAGTTTTGGGGCGGTCTACGGGGCCTCTTGGGCCGTCTTGGAGCGTCTGAAGCTCGAGAAGACGATAACCCCAGAAGCAATGGAAAACATATAAGTAAGGTCACTAATTTTTGCCTCTCGGGGCTCTCTTATGAAGGCTCTTGGGGCGTCTCGAACGCGTCTTGGGGCGTCTTGGACCCATAGTAAGCGTCTTTGGCCTATCGTTCCGCGATTCGGGACCGCCTTGGAAAGATTTGAAAGAGCGTGTTCTACCGCCGCTGGTCACTGGGGGTTCCTAACCCTTCCCCCCCCCCTCGAAAACCGGGGGGGGGTGGTCACTACGGGTTCGAACCCCCCCCCTGCCCCCCCCCCCCCAGGCCATCACGAAAAGGAGGGGGGGTCACTACTGGTTCGCAACCCCCCTCCCCCTCCCCCCCTCGAACACCGGGGGGGGGTCACTAACGGTTCGAACCCCCCCCCCTCGAAAACCGGGGGGGGTCACTACCTGTTCGAACCCGCCCCCCCACCCCACCCCCTCGCCGCCGGCAAACGATGCCCGCTCCTCGGGACAATTGGAGAATGGTAGGGATGTTGGGACAGTGGTGGGAACGGTGGTGGTGGGGACAGTGGTGCGGGGACGGTGGGACAGTGGTGCGGGCAGTGGTGGGGACGGTGGTGGTGGGGACAGTGGTGAGGGGACAGCGGGACAGTGGTGGGGACAGTGGGACAGTGGTGGGGACGGTAGTGGTGGGGACAGTGGTGAAGGCGGTTGTGAGGACAGTGGTGGGACAGTAGTACAGAGTGGGGACAGTGAGACACTGGTAGGGGCACTGGTGGGGACAGCGGGGACAAAAGTGGGAACAGTGGGGACATTGTTGTTCTTTTTCTTGTAATTGTTGTTGCTGTTGTGGTTGGTGTTGTTTTGTTATTGCTTTGTTGTCGTTGCTGCTGCTGCTGCGGTTGATGTTGTGATTGGTATCAAGCAAGTTTTATTGTGAGACCCCCTATATCCGCTTTGGCGCTTTCGCCCTGGCGCCGACTGCACTTCCTGTAAATAAACCGGCCCTCAGCAACAACAGTGCCTTGCGCGATGCTTCCTCACAATTTGCTCCGGAAGGCCCTGGCCAAAGAGGGCCCGAAGTTCAGGAAGGAGGGGGAGGAGGAGGATGGCGGTGGAGGATGGCGGGCCTGCTTCCCTCCACCTCCATCCTCGTCCACCTCTTTCCCTCCCTCCCTCCCTCCTTCCCTCCCTGCCTTCTCCCCCCCCCTCCTTCCTCCATCCTCCTCCCTCCTCTCTCTTCCCCCCTCCTTCCTCCATTCTCCTCCCTCCCTCCTCCTTCCTCCTCCCTCCTTCTGCGCCCTGCTTTCCAGGGGGGGATGACGGCGACGACGATGACGACGACGGTGACGCCGACGCCGCCGCCGCCGCCGCCGCTGCCGCCGACGACGACGACGACGACGACGACGACGACGACGACGACGACGACGACGGCCCGCCCGCGGCCGAGAGGCGCTGCAGGGGGCTGCCGCGGCGGCGGCGGCGGCGCTGGGAGGGCAGGCCGCGCTTGCGGACTTCCAGGGCGATGCTGGCCTTTTTTTTATTGGGGGCGGGGGGGTCAGGAGAGGCTGAGTCCGGACGGAGTACGAGTCCAGACGGAGACCGACCATTCCGTATGGACTTCCTCCGTAGGGACGTCGTCCCGCTTGAGGCGGGCGCCAGGGGGCTCCCCGGCCACTGTGTTGATGCTGGGCGCTACACTATCAATGCCACGCTTCCCTGTGGCTTTGCTGTTTTTCCTGTTCCGAGCGCACACCGGGTGAGGCGGCGGAGAGCTCGAGAGATCCATCCCAACAAAGTACGATGCCGGTTTTTGTTTGCTCTTGGGTGTGGGGGCGCCTGCAGGGGAGAGGGGAGGGGCCTCGGCTCGAGGCCTCCCAGATGGGGTCGGAGTAGACGGGGTCGGAGTAGATGGGGTCGGGATCTTTCTTCTCTTGGGGGCAGGGGGCGCGGTCGGACCAGGACCTCGAGTTGGCAGCCCAGACGAAGTAGGTCGAAACACCTCGATCCTCGAGCCACGTCGTCGTCGTCGTCGTCGTCGTCGTCGTCGTCGTCGTCGTCGTCGTCGTCGTCGTCGTCCGCCGTCGGCGTCGGCGGCGTCGGCGTCGGCGTGGGCGTCGGCGTCGCCGTCGTCGTCGTCGTCGTCGTCGTCGTCGTCGTCGTCGTCGTCGTCGTCGCCACGCGGTCGGACTTTGGGGCGATGCGTTTTTTTTTTTTTGTCCTGGGGGCCCCGCCCCTTTTTTTCTGGGGGGGGGGTGAATTTTCGCCTCGGGGGGAAACAAACGTATCTGTGATGCGTTTTCCACCACCACCATAAGTTGGATGGGGAGGGGGTCCTCCTCCCCCTCCTCCTCTTTCTCCTCTTCGTCCTCCTCCTCCTCCTCCTCCTCTCCTCCTCGTCCTCCACCTCCTTCCTCCTGGTGATGGTGGAAAACATTCCCATCAACGTATTGTTTCGAGCAAGGGCACGCATCTTGGGCTGGATGCGTCGGGGGGCCCTCGTTTCTACTGCTTTGCAGGAAGCGAAAGCAGCGAGCAGAAGCAGAGACTCGATACGGAACAACCTCTGCAAGCGTGGTGGCGGATCCGTTGTCAGCTTCTGATGCTTGGTGCTTCTTGTTTGAAGGGGCCCAGGGCATGTCAAACAACCTCTTGGCTACCACCTTGCGGCTTGGGGAATTCTGTTGGATTCCCAGGGAACCTGGACATGAGTTTGAAACCTCCGTCTGGGATTCCTGGCAGCACTTCCTGACCCCCTCGCCGACCTCCAAGGCGAGCCCGTCACCTGCATGAAGCGGTACGGCCCCGCCATCATCAAGCTGCAGAGCGCCGTGGACTCTGGGGACATGAAGTCCGTCCTGGCCAAGGACAGCAAGCTCAAGCTCCTCCCAGGAGGAGGGATGATTCGGAGGAGGGGGCCTAGGAGTACGAAGCGGAACAAGGGGTGCAGGGGGAAAGGGAAGAGGGAGGAGGAATAGGAGGAGGCCTGGCTTCCAGTTTGAGTTGGACTTTGCTGTTTTAGACTTTTTGGTTTGTCCTCTCTCTCTCTCGCTCTCTCTCTCTCTCTCTCATTGTTCTCTTTTTCTCTCTCTCACTCCATCTCTCTGTCTCTCTCGCTCTATCTCTTTCTCTATCTCTCTCTATTTCTCTATCTCCTGGGGGACCGTCCCTGTGGTGGTGTGGAGAGAAGTACAGTGATTCGCACCAGCAGTGCTCTTATGGACCAGTGTGTAGCAGGAGGAGAAAGATGCGTATAGTATGAGTACGGCCTTGTGACAAAGTCATCCTCCGACTGGAATTTGCGAGCACTTCACCCCCACGTGGAAGACAAGGAATATGCAGAATTCGGTGGAAGTGCCGAGCACGAGACCGACTAACAAAAACTGAGTGGGTATAGTGTCCACCTTGGTTTCGGGCAGCTATGCACAGCACTGATAAGAGGTTCATCGGCTTTACCTACGGGTATAGCGTTCACCATATTTCTCATCATCCAACATAAGCAGGGAATGACATCGGGTTCCCCAGATACACCAACTACTGCTCATGCAAGACGCCTTCACGATGCAAGTGGTATGCACATGATAAGTGTAATGATGCCACCACAAATCAAATTTGAAGCTACAACCTCACGCCCCCTACGCATAATATCGACAGCAAATGCAACCACAGCAACTACTTACGAACCCATACATGTTCCTCTTCCTATATTTTTGCTAGCCGGGGGGGGGAATCCCGATCGGGGTCGACCCCCCCCAAAAACCGGACCCCCAGGATCCGGGGTTTCCAGGCCTTTGCACACCCTTGCCAAAGGTCTTCCAGCTCGTCCCGGACCTCCCAGGGCGCTTAGCCCAGTCTTGCCAGCAGACCCCAAGCGATCAGAACGGTGATCAGAGAGGCCGAAGAGAGACCCAACACAGCACAAGAACGCTCCAGGAAGGATTCAGATGGCTTCCAGAGGCCCCGAAGACAGCTTAGGAGCCCCTGAACAGCTTCATTCCCTCCAGGAAACGTGCATTTTCAGCATAGTCGCTGTTCGGGTCTTAGCAGCTTCCAAAGCATCCAAGCAGGCCTCCGGTATCGGCCCAAGACGGTCCGAGAGACCCCCAAAAGAGCCTCTAGACGGCTTGGATAGCCCCAAGAGGCCCAAGTAACCCCATGGGCCAAAAATATACCCAACAGGCCCTCACAAGGCCCCCAAGAGAAGCCCAAGAAGGCCATGGGAGACCCCCCAAAATGCCACGGGAGGCCACCAGGAAGCCCCACATAGCCCCCGTAAGGTCCCTAGAGGGCCTAAGCTCCCCAACACGGCCTAGGATGGCCCCAGGACGGCACGAGAGGGCCCCAAGCCGGCCCACCAAGACTCGAACAAGGCCCACACGGCTTTTTGACCCACCAAACTGATTCGAATCCCGTGTTCGCAACCACATATCCTGGAAATCTGTTGCGAACCCAGGATTCGGTGTTACTTACTTTTGCGTGCCCCGTTGCGACCCGCTGCAACATGACATCCTCGGCTTAGCATTGTTTTGTATTTCTCGGCATTGATTGACATTGCGTCGGTTTGCTTGGCATGCATTCGCGTGGCTTGCCATTCCTCATCACCCGGCCACATTACACCAAAAAGTCATGCACAACGAACTACATTCTTTGACGACGATTATGAACATTAGGTAATATGTAAGTGGAGAGGTGGTAAAAAAATGCGAAACAAAACGCCAGTACTAGGAGGTGTCACTCCCAAGAACGACGACGATTCCGCCGAACACTACTGGGGTGCCATGAAACAGCGGTGACATTCCGCCGAGCGCTAAAAAAATATCATGGACTCCTGGGCGCAAGAAGGCCAATATTGCCACAGGGGTACACGCATGGCCGCAGCAATAATCGCATGTGGCGTCTCGGGCCCCGAGTAGCCCACGGCGCCCCCCCCCCCAACCCCCATCCTCTGACCATGGGTTCCCCGGCGCCTGCGGGCGCCCGCCAAACGCTCCCAGGTGCCTCCGAGTGCTCCCAGGCGCGCCCCCCAGGCATTCGGAAACATTTGCAAACGCGCGCGCATGCGCTCCCAGGCGCCTTCCTTCGCAAGCTCATGCAAAAAGGAAACTTGGGGGACAGCCAGCAAGGGGTGTCAGGAACAAAAACGGCGACGACGATGACCCCCGACACCACGTGTCAAGAAAAACGTCGACGACGGCGGCCACTGACACCAGGACACCTCGTGAAACAAAACGGCGACGGCGATATTTTCGTCGAACACCCGGGGGGGGATACATCTCCGTTGACCTGAGTGATCGTTCTTCGGTGCGGCGCAACCGAAATTCTTCGCCGTTCCCCGACGGCTCCATCTCTTTCCTTCCTCCTGCTCCTCTCTGGGTCCTCCTTCTCCTCCTCCTCCTCCTCCTCTTTTTGCCGCTCCCCCACTCGTCCTCCCCCACATCCGCTTCCCTCTCCTCGTTCTCCGAGACCCCCTCCCTCCTATCCTTCGCCCTCCACCCGGCGCCTTTCGGGAGCCCCTGGAAGCCGGGGAAGGGCCACGGATTGCCTGAGCTTTCGGAGACTTCCGAGAATTACCGCAGTGAAGGGGTTAACTTTTCAAGGCCACTAGGGATGGCGCGAACGACCAACATAAGCAAAGCCTCAAGAACCAAGATGCATGGCGTGAAGCGCCAATGCAGTCTTGCATACATACACATATATGTACGTATGTATATATATATATATATACACACGCCGCCTGAGGTCATTTCAAGGGTGGATCTGTCAGTGGCACTGCGATACCCTTATGGCTCTGCTCCTAGCCTTGGGACCTGCGTCGATCCACATAGGTTCAGGGAATCCAGAACTCCGACGGACGACATCAGCTCTGGCCAACCGCCTGTGATCGTTCGTCGGGCTCCTTGCCACGCCCAGCAGGTCGAGGATATGACACGTAGCCCGCGGCAGGGCGAGAAGCTGCATGCCGACGCCGCTTGTCGAGCTGAGGCCCTGACCGACCCTGGCGATCTCAGAACCCTGCTCGCTGTCTCCCCTCTTTCCCTTCCCGCCTGCGTGCTTCGTCCCGCCAACCCCCGCCAACCGCCTGCTGCGCGTTCACCGCCGCCAGTCTGCTTCTCGCTCCTCCCCCTCCTCCTCCTCCTCCTCCTCCTCCTCCTCCTCCTCCCTCCTCCTCCTCCTCCTCCTCCTCCTCCTACTCTCCAACTCCTCCTCCTGCTCCTGCTCCTCCTCCTCCTCCTCCTCCTCCTCCCCCTCCTCCTCCTACCCTTCCTCCTCCTACTCCTCCTCCTCCTCCTCCTGCTCCTCCTCCTCCTCCTCCTCCTCCTCCTCCTCCTCCTCCCCTTCTCCTCCTCCTCTTTGTCCTCCTCACCCTTCTCCTCCTGCTCCTCCTCCTCCTCCTCACCTTCCCCCTCCTCCTTCTCCTCTTTGTCCTCCTCCTCCTCCTGCTCCTCCTCCTCCTCTTTGTCCTCCTCCCCCTTCTCCTCCTCCTCCGCCTGTTCTCCTCCTCCTCCTCCTCCTGCTTCCCCTCCTCTCCTACCCCGGGAGCCAACGGCGCAATCGCCATCGGCTCTTGGGCATTGCACTCGGCAAGGCTTCGGGTTGCGCACAGACAGCTCCCCGAGGTAGTCCCAGCTGGCCTCAACAGGTCCTCCGAGTACTTTGGGTTTCTTAATAAGCGTGGGGGGGTCACCCCCCCGACGGGGGTCAATACGCTACGTGTTGCGTGTGGCGTATCGGGGCAGCTGAGCCCCCGAGTAGTCTGTGGCGGTCTCAACACCCCGGCGCCGCCTTCGGCGGCGCCCCTGGGGCGCGCCGCGCTCCAGGGTTGAGGTGGTGAGACAGCCCTGGATTACTCGGGGGGCCTGTTGAGGCCAGCTGGGGCTATTCGGAGGGCCTGTTGAGGCCGACCGGGAGTACTTACATGGGGTGGCCGTGTGTGCGCAACCCGAAGCCTTTCCACGCTCATGGGCCAGTCCTTGAAATCCTCATTTGCGAAAGATGCAACATCATGAGAAGTCTTGACTGGAGTCCCAGACCACATCTTTCTGCTGAAGTTCCTTGAGCCGGATTGAGTTGTGATGGTCCTTGGGCCCGAAATTGGGCGCGAACGCACCGTGTAACAAAAATACAAGACTGCGATGCCTGGACCTGTTGGGTTTCTGAACCGCTGCGCCAGAAGACCTGCAGGCCCTGGGTGCCGCACGAAGAGGCACATCCAGGCGCGACCTGGGGGTCCTCGCCAGAGGCTGAACGCAGCGGGTGGCCTCGAGCCGCTGCGTGGGGACATGAGGAGACCGTCTTCGTCGTCGTCGTCGTCGGTCGTCGTTGCCGGTCGTCGGTCCTCGTCGTCATCGTCGTCGTGGCCGTCGTCGTTGTCGTGGTCGTCGTCTTCGTCGTCGTCGTCGTTGCGGTCGTCGTCGTCGTTGCTGTTGTCGTCGTTGTGGTCGTCGTCGTCGTTGTCGTCAGTCGTCGGTCGCCGGTCGTCGGTCGTCGTCGTCGTTGTCGTCGTCGTCGTCGTCGTAGTCGTTGCCCTCACAGTCGTCGTCGCCGTCGTTGTCGTCGTCGTCGTCGTCGTCGTGCAGCGTCGTCGTCGTCGTCGTTGGTCGTCGTTCGTCGGTCGTCCGTCGTCGGCGTCGTCGTCGTCCTCGTCGTCGTCGTCGTCGTCTGGTCGTCGTCCTGATCGTCGTCGTTGTCGTGTTGGTCGTCGTCGTCGTCGTCGTTGTCGTCACCGTTGCGGTCGTCGTCGTCGTCGTCGTCGTCGTCTGGCCGTCGGCGTCGTTGTTGGGGTCGTCGTGGTGGTCGTGGTTTCGGTTGTTGTCGGGGTCGTTATCGTTGGGGTCGTGGTCGTGGTCGTTGTCGGGCGCGTGGGCGTGGTGGTGGTTGTGGTCTTGATCGTCGTCGTGGTCGTCGCGGTCGTCGTCGTCGTCGGCGTCGTGGTCGTCGTCGTCGCCGTTCTCGTCGTCTTCGTGCAGCGTCGTCGTCGTCGTCGTTGGTCGTCGTTCGTCGGTCGTCCGTCGTCGGCGTCGTCGTCGTTCTCGTCGTTCTCGTCGTCGTCGTCGTGGTCGTCGTCGTGATCGTCGTCGTTGTCGTGTTGGTCGTCGTCGTCGTCGTTGTCGTCGTTGCGGTCGTCGTCGTCGTCGTCGTCGTCGTCGTCGTCGTCGTCGTCGTCTGGCCGTCGTCGTCGTTGTTGGGGTCGTCGTGGTGGTCGTGGTTTCGGTTGTTGTCGGGGTCGTTATCGTTGGGGTCGTGGTCGTGGTCGTTGTCGGCGCGTGGGCGTGGTGGTGGTTGTGGTCTTGATCGTCGTCGTGGTCGTCGCGGTCGTCGTCGGCGTCGTCGTCGTCGTCGTCGCCGTCGCCGTCGTCGTCGTCGTCGTTTTGTCGTTTAGCAAGAGTGGGAGGAGGAGGAGGAGGAGGAGGAGGAGGAGGAGGAGGAGCAGGAGGAGGAGGAAGAGGAGGAGGAGGAGGAGGAGGAGAAAGGGCGATGGGTGAGGTGGGGGGCTTTCTCGCGATTTCGGCGTTTGAGTGTCTGTTTCGGCCCCCTGGGCCCATCAAGAGCCGACTCCAGTGCGAACACGCTGGTCCCAGGGAAGGGGTCGAGCCACCTGGAGGGGATGAAGAGAAGGATGATGAGGGAGGAGAACAAGTTCAAGATGCTCAACACGTACTGGCGCAACCAGCCGAAGGACCGCGGTGCCTTGACCGAGCGGCAGATGTTTGACCTCCTTCCCCTGCTTGGGGCCTTAGGAGTGGGTCTCTTTTGCTGCGGCTAGGTTCGGGTGAGGGCCACACCGTCGGGCGCCGAGGAAATCCACTCGGGACGGGAGTCATTCGCAGATTTTCGGTTTCAGGGGGCAGTCTTCGGGCTCCAGGGATGTCAGACTGACCCGCAGCAACACAAATGATCGCGGGGCCGGGAACAAACATTGTCTCGGGGCCGGGCTCAGGAGTTCCATGGGATGACGACGTCGGAGGTCTTTTGGGGGTAGGCAAGGGGGATCAAACATACAGCCCCTCCGCCAGCTCTGGTCTCCGTCCCCTCGCTGCACTGCGCATATGCAGCCGGACATGTCTGCACGACGTCGTGACGAGGGTCTAGGGTTGCGCAGGAGTTCTGAGGCGGTCGAGCGAATTTCGGGAGTGGAGCCACGAGAGGTACGCATAACACACACACACCCACACCCACACACCCACACCCACACCCACACCCACACCCACACCCACACCCACACCCACACCCACACCCACACCCACACGCACACGTACACGTACACGCACACGCGCGCGCACGCGCACGCGCACGCGCACGCGCACGCGCATGCGCACGCGCACGCGCACGCACACGCACACGCGCACGCGCACGCGCACGCGCACGCGCACGCGCACGCACACGCACACACACACACAAGCACACGCACACGCACACGCACACGCACACGCACACGCACACGCACACGCACACACACACACACGCACACACAGACACACACAGACACTCACGGACACACACACATATATATATATATATATATAGACACACAGACACACACAGACACACGCACAGCCACACACACAGACACACACAGACACACACGCACAGACACACACACACACACAGACACACACACAGACACACATACACAGACACGCACAGACACGCACACAGACACGCACTCAGACACACACAGAGGCACACACACAGACACGCACAGACACGCACAGACACGCACAGACACGCACAGACACGCACAGACACACACAGACACGCACAGACACGCACAGACACGCACAGACACGCACAGATACACACAGACACGCACAGGCACGCACAGTCACGCACAGACACGCACAGACACGCACAGACACGCACAGACACGCACAGACACACACAGACACGCACAGACACGCACAGACACGCACAGACACGCACAGATACACACAGACACGCACAGGCACGCACAGACACGCACAGACACGCACAGACACGCACAGACACGCACAGACACGCACAGATACGCACAGACACGCACAGACACGCACAGACACGCACAGGCACACAGACACACAGACACACAGACACACAGAAAAACAAACACACAGACACACAGACTCACAGGCACACAGGCACACAGACACACCGACACACGAGGCACACAAGGCACACAAGACAGACAAGGCACACCAGGCACACAAGGCACACAAGACACACACACACACCGATCCTGTCCATGCCCATCGTGGGCCCAGGGTTGGGGCGCAATCGCCCCCCTTGCCAAGCCAGATGGGCGCATGTACCAGTGCCTGGCCCAGGATGGACCTGGGCAGGATCGGTGTGTGTGTGTGTGAGTGTGCATGGTTTGTTTTCCTCTGCGAGGCTCCATGCCCGAGAGACTTCCTGGCGCAACTCGTTGGGTCTTAGTTGCAAGATGGGCTGTGTCCCTAGGGGGACCCTGCCCCGAGGGCGCGGAGGGCGCACTCACGTCGTGCTTTCGCAGTGCTGCGCCGGAGAAGCGTGAAGCAGCAGCAGCCAGGCAGACTGATTTCTCCCGTTGCCAAGAGATGTTCAATCAAAGCAGGCTTGTTTTTTGTCAACGCTGGTTTCTTTGCTTTGGCCTGGAGGGTGTCACTTCTTGTGCTTTGCTCCTCGTTGCTTGTCCTCCTTCTCCTCCGCCTCCCGTTCCTCATTCTCGTCCCTCCTCTTCTTCACTCCTCCTCACCCCCCCTCACTCCCCCCTCGGTCCGACAGCAGTGGAGGAGTTTGGCGAGGGAGAAGGGGAGGTGGATGAGGAGGGCAAGCGCGAGGAGGAGGAAGAGGAGGAGAAGGAGGAGGAGGAGAAGGAGGAGGCGGAGGAGGAGGACACCGAGGGGGATGGGGAGGAGGAGGAGGAGGAGGAGGAGGAGGAGGAGGAGGAGCATCTATAGAAGGAAAAGGGTGAGAAAGACGAATCTGATGAGGGGGACGCGCATAACCAGGAATAGTCGGAGGAGACAGAGGATGAAACACACACAGCTTGCCCGAAAGGGTGGCCCCGCAGTGTAACCGATCATGTAGAGAGGAAGGAGGGGGACAAGGATCAAAAAGGCGGTGCTAGGAAGGGTAGAGCGTGGGCCGGGCGAGGAAGAGGAGGACACTGAGGATGAGGAGGGGTGGAGGAGTGGGGCGACGGAGGAGGAGGAGGAGGAGGAGGAGGAGGAGGAGGAGGAGGAGGAGGAGGAGGAGGAGGAGGAGGGGTGTAAGCAGGAGGACAGGGAAGAGGTAAGGGAGGAGGGAGGAGGAGAAGGAGGAAGAGAAAGTGTAGGACGAAGGAAATGAAGATTGGCAGGCAGAGCTTCTCGATTCCCTCTCGAGGTCCCGTGGACGCAGGTCACACTTTTTTGTTTTTGGTGCGTAACAGATTTGCATTCGGGGAGGCCCCCTGGAGACCAAAGTGCGGTCCAAGCGCAGCAGATCGAGATCGAGAGAGCGAGAGAGGGGGAGGACAGGAGGGAGAGAATGTCCTGGGTGGATGTTTGGGCACGTCGGAAGCGATTGCTCCCCAAGGTATGGATGGTGCGTTCTGCCGAGGGGGAAGGAGGTGGCAGGGTGGCCACAATGTGCTTTTCCATAGTGGTTCGTCCTCTTGCTTCTGACCGCGGTCATCTACAGGCGGGCGCAGCGGTGGGGTCGATGCCTTTTCGGTCTCCGGCGGAAGGTCTGAAATCCTCCTCCTCCTCCTCCTCCTCCTCCGACCCTTCCCCTGGCACTCCAGGATGGCACCACGTGGGGTCCTACCGTCAAAGGAGGCCAAGGAGGGGGAACTGGGGAGCGACAGGACCTTTCTGTCCGTCCCTCCCAGCCAGCACAGCCTTATGGTGGTCCTTGGTGGTCCTCATACGAGGCAGGCTGTTTTACAGAACCTGATGCTCCCACTTCTGGCTTCCGGGCTTTATGGGCTACGGCCTCGAGCGCCTTGCCCAAACGGGCACAGGCACACGCGCTTCGCCGCACGAGTCTGCACTGGCGCCTCGCTCGCTCGCTCGCGCTCGCCCCCCCCTCCCTGGCCGCGAAACAGAGAGGGGCCGATGCGGCCGCCGCCCTGGAGGACTTTGCGCAGCAGACCGAGATCTCCGAGGACCTCCTGGACGCCGCCGCGGACGGCCAAACAGACAAGGCGAGCGACGTCGTCGTCGTCGTCGTCGTCGTCGTCGTCGTCGTCGTCGTCGTCGTCGTTAGACGTCGTCGTGTGTGGTCGTCGTCGTCGTGGTCGTGGTCGTGGTGGTGGCGGTCGTCGCCGTCGTCGTCGTCGTCGTCGGCGTCGTCGGCGTCGTCGGCGTCGTCGCCGTCGCCGTCGTTGTCGAGTTGTTTCTCGTGCTTTTTGGCACGTTTGGGCCATTTGCCGACCTCCGGGGACATCTGTACGTAGGTCTCCCGAGGCCTCTCCAGAGCCCTCTGGAAACCTCGGAGGGCGGAGGACGTCGTCCCTGTCGTCGTCGCCGTCGTGGTCGTTGGCGTCGTTGTGGTCGTCGTATGAGGCATTCCAGAAAGGGCCTCGCCTTCGAGGACCGAATGGGTTGTCATCTCTTCCTCGGCTGAATGCCGTGGAAGGCCGGCGGAAGTGAAGCGAGGCCGCCTGCGCCGGCGGAGGCCAGCGGAAGGCCGGGTGGAAGGCGGCGGAAGTGCAAGAGATTCGCACCCAGGAGATGACAGCTTGATTTGGTTCTGGGTTTTCGGAAGCCGCCATGCACTCATCGGGAATTTCGAGAAGGCGTCAACGTTCGTGGACTCCAGATTTCGTCCAAGAACGTGCAGAATCCGGATTGGACCCTGGGCGTTCTCGTGGAGCGTCCTTTCTTTGTGGCGTCTTCGTATATCTGGACCCGGAGCACGGTTTAAGAAAACGCTTGGAGTGAAGGCCATTTCCTCAGCGTAAGATTTTCTTAGCTCTGAGCTGGGGTGTACGTCGTCATGGTCGTCGTTGTCCCTCCTTCGCCGCCTTCCCTCCCCTCCCCTGGAGGACCAGCAGTACCGCACACGTTTGGGCGTGGGCTGCCTGCTCTAGGCCGCGCGTGCCCAGGCCTCTGCCCGACGGAAACTTTTGGGCCCCGGCGCGCTTCCTCGACTTCTCGGCCTCGGGAGGCCGCTTTGTGGCCCCCGGGGCCGCAAGGCGTGGATCGTTGTCGCTGAAACGAGGCCCAGGAACGAGTGGAGCTTGCCAGGGGACGCGCCCCAGCCCATGCGCAGGAAGCGGAAGCATCCATGGACCTACACAGAGCGAGTTGGGATGATGCGGTGGGGGCGTTCGTCAAGGAATGTTCCCAGGAGGCTGCAGACCCTGGATGGTTCCTTGTCTGATGAGGTCGGCGGTGATATCCATGGCCAATCCACGATTGGAGTTCCACCGGCTTCCAGACTCTGTATTCCTTATCCAATGCCCCCACCGTAGGCAAGGGCGCGCGATCCCTTGGGAGGGCCAGCGGAGATGCCTCCGGCGAATCCTCGCCGCCGCCTGCCGCCCCCTGCCTTCCCGGAAATGCCTCCGCGGTGACATCTCGAGTGAGGGTGCTGCTGTTCTCGTGGACGGGGTGTCCGCTGGGGGAACGAACAATGGCGTAAACGTAAAAATTCGGAGGTCCGCGCGGATTGCCCGGATCGGCGCTCGACCCCATCCCTGGCGCGCGGAGCGCGCCAGGGGCGGCGCCGGAGGCGCCAGCAGGGGGCCCCAGCGCGGAACCAAGAAATCCGCGCGGACCTCAGAGTTTTTCGGTTCCCCTACCCACAGGGGAGGCCCTCTGGCGCCATCTTCGGGCTCTCTTGGGTTTCTCTTCGGGATGTCTCGTCTGGGTCTGCGCGGGAGGGCGCTCCGCTGGACCTCTACAGGGCGCAGGGCGGCGACAGTGGCGCGCCTTGCAGCACCCAGGGGGGGCGGGGGGGCGATGTCTCGCTGGGGCCCGCGTGGGGCGTCCGTCCGCTGGGCGCCCCAGGGCACGCCGCAGCATGGCGACATCTGCGCTCCCGGCAGCACCCCCCAGACGCCCGACGGCGTGATTTTCCCATGACGTGACCCTCAGAAATCAGGACCGCTTCCCGTTTAAAAATCCTGAGTCGTGCTTGCTGACGCTCCCGAGGCCCGGTGAGGGCCCCCGGAGGCCGAAGATCGCGAGACACCTCTCCCGCCGTGAGTTCTTCGCAGCGCCGAGGGGGTCTGGGCCCCGCGGGGGCGAGGCCTCCTCCCGTGTGTCTGCAATTACCCCCCCGCCGTCGCTCCGCGGGGCCCCCCTGCCGGGGCGCCGCCACCGGTGGCGTGCCAGCGGCGCGCCTTGCGGCACCCGGAGGGTGGGGGCGGCGCGTGGCGCGCCAGCCCGCTGGGCCCCCCTTAGGGGCAGGGGTGCCGGCGGCAGCACTGGCGCGGCTGTGGAGAGGGAGCGCGGCGACGGCGCGCGGCGAGCGGAGAGAGAGAGGGAGGGGGGAAGAGAGAGAGAGAGAGAGGGCGAGAGAGGTGGGAGAGCGGAGGGATAATCGGTATGATGGATGGGGAAGGAAGGGACGGCGGCGAGAACGGAGGAGGAGGAGGAGGAGGAGGAGGAGGAGGAGAACGAACGAACGAACGAACGAACGAACGAACGAACGGCTCTGCAGAGGCGTGTCAGCTGATCCTGCGGCCACTCGGGGCATTTAAAAGCAACAACAGAAGATTTCCAGGACTTGCTCGCTTCTAGAGGGCGCTGTGATGTGAATCTACTCATCACGCGTGGTACTCGGTGTATTTGTGCTCTCGCTCACGCCCTACCTCGGCTTAAAGCCCGTGCTTTAAAGGCTGGGCATGGCCGCAGGGTCTGGGGCAGAGAGGGCGGAAAACAGCATCGGGGACAGCCCTAATCGAGCGAAAGCTCCCCGACTCACGAACAACGATTTAAAGTCAAAGAAACTCATTCTGTCTACGGCCCTCGCGGGCCAGCTCAAAAAGTTAAACCTAGAATCATCTGGGAGATCTCTGAAGACCCAGGAGTCCCAGGATGCTACTGAAGGGAAGGGGAGGCGTCGAAGAGGAAGCGGAGGAGGACGGCACAGCAGCGGCGGCAGCATTTCTAGGCCTAGACGAACTCGCGGAGGCGGGCGTAGCCGCGCAGGGTCCACAGGAGGCCGTAGGTGCAGAACTCGATTGTCTCTGAGCTCTCGGAGTTCCCGCAACCGTCGCCGTCGGATCCGCCGTCGAAGGAGAAGGAGCCATCTGCGATCCAATCGTGGCCGCAAATGAAGAGAGCGTGGCACTCTTTGACGGTCGGGTAGCAATCGTCGAAGATGGAGCCGTAATCTGCGATGAAGGCGTGGCGGTCTGAAACTCTGAATCAACATGCGTTCTAACTCTAGCTTGTCTCGAAACGGCATCCCCAGGGGAGGACGGCTCAGAAAATTCTAAGGTCCCCGTACCACGGAAACAGGCGTGGGCACCGTCTGTGACGGGATTGGGGACCATCTCATCATAGCCTACCGTCGAGACAAGCGGGCAGTTTTCCACAACACGTGAGGTCAAGTGATGTGAATCATTCAGCGGCGAAGGTGGTACAACAATCTGCTGCTCTGACTCCGGTTGCATTCCAATGGCTTGCCAACTGTCAATCGCACCAGAGTTCGGAGCATCATACTGCAATGGTCTCGTCGCCGCCTATGAGCCGAGCTACTGATTCGCGTCGAGATGCAATTGCAGAATCCGTGAGTTGTGACTGCGAGGCGGCGCCCCGTGCTTGTGTATTTCTCCGATCTGCAGATCTGCACCAGAGCCTGCACCAAGATATCCTCCTCCATGCCCGTCGCTTTGGCCTCGATCCAGATCTTGACCTTGTCCTGAGAGTGCGTCGTCTAGAGCCTGCAGTGCCGAACCAAATCTGCCAGATCGCGGTTGGATAACTTCTCGTGCCTGAGCTTCTCTTGGTAGTCTTTGAGCTTGGTTGCGTTCGCCTGCCCTACTTTGTCTCCCTGAGCCACTAGCGCGCCGATGAGTGAAACCCACACTTGTGGATGTGGGATCCCGAGCTCATCTCATTTTGGAACGAGCTCGCCGTTCTTGATGCCTCCTGGTGGTGGTCGCGAAGCCTCTTGGCCTCCTGCCCGTAGTAGCGCGCTGTGAGCATCATCGACTGCGGCACGTCGTGGTTGGTCGGAAGCTGGACGTGATGAAAGAAGGCCGACTCCACGAGGCCGAGGCGATGTTCGTGCCCGAGCGCCATCCTCATCAAGATGGGCGTCATCGCCTGCACCCACGGGAGCGGCATCATCTGCATGTCGGTGAGGTCGCCCTCGCGTAAGCCGTAGTGGTTTTCGGTGGCGGCCCAGACGTCGTTGAGCGCCCTGGCGTGCTGGGGCCTCGCCGCCTGGGGTCCCCCATGAGGGGGCTGCTGGGGCTGGGCCCTCGGACCTGGACCTCCGCGGCGGCCTCGATCTCCGCTGCGAGTCCGATCGCCGCACCCAGCGGCGAGTTCGCCGCGCCGCTGCTCCGTCCCAGTCGCGAGTGCCCTGTCCGCCAGGCTCGACATCTATCACTAGATCGGGTGGCGGCGGGGCGTGAACTTCTCGGATGTGAGCCTGAAGAGCCTGTAGACTAGGAAAGTCGCCTTGAGCCAGTACGGCTCTAGACAGGGATTCACGAAAGGCCTCGTGTGCACTCTCTGGGTCCAGGCAGATCGGGCAGTGCAAATCGTCGGGCACTCTCAACGGGGGTGAGTACGCACTGTAATCTGTCAGGCACCTGCGACGCTTCAACGATTGCACAACATGCCTCTTGGCAAGCACCACAGACGACAACGTGGACGAGCAATGACAGCATTGGTTGGTCACCACGAGCTGGTGCATAGGGACCCTGATCTTGTGGGACGGGTGGTGGCACTGGTGCGCTCGCAAGGCCGCCCTGGAGTAGAAGACCTGGCCACAAGGGTCCCCACCGTCACCTGGAAGCTCACAGTAGAACTCTTGAGGGGGATTTTCAGGAACTGGGGGAACTTCAGGGGCACCTGACGCTTGCAGTTCTGAGGGTAGCTGAAGGGGTCCATTGCGAGCCTGCTCCCAATAAGCCTTGCGAAAGTCCTTGACGTCTAGTGTGCTGCAAGTCTAGGGTTCGTGAATATGTCCTTGATTCTATGGCCCTTGTCTAAGAAGTACTTCCCATGGGGGATGACCTCAAGGAGCTTCACATCTCTTTGCAGCTGCAGGGCCCACGGATTGGCACCAGGTCGGATCCAGCCAGAGGGGGTGAACGTCGGGGATTCGCCAAGCGTCGTGGATTGTCCAAGAAGAGCCGCTACTACCTGCACAGAATCAGCTGGATGAAAGGCCAGACGTTGCCAGTAACTTTGTCGACGAATCAACAGCTCGGTCCTGGCATCTGCGATCCTCAACCATTTATGCATCAGCCACGCCGACGGGGTCCGAACAAGATCCCCACCAGGTCCGGCATGTCGAGCGACCCCTCGAAGACCCACTTTTGCAGACCCCAAGAAGACCGAGTCGAGCTTCGCAAAGTCCCGCTCCCCCAGAAGGTAGACCGCAAGGCCCGAGTAGGCCGCGCTGTGTATCACCCCCGAGAAAGCCGTGCGCTTAAGTTTCAGGGACGTGTGTTGGTTCCAGAAACGGCCTAGCTTCGACCAAGCCGATCGCGTAGCGTCAACCCGAAGACGAACCTCAGCTCCTGCTCCTCCCGTGAGATGTTCCAGTCCTCCTAAGTACAGCGTCTCGGCTTTTACCTGTCCAGGAATCTGCACAAGTCCAGAGAGGACGGCACGAGTGGCCGTGTATCCCCCAGGGCCCACAAAAACAGGAAGGATGATCTCCTTATCGACGTTCTGGCTAAAACCTCCTAGCTCCTCCAACCGATCAGACAAGATGCGAGACGATAATTTTGCCCTCTGAGCTGCTCGAAGTGGGTTGCCGTCAGGAAGGGGCAGCGTCTGCGAGACGTCATCAGCGTAGTCCCGCATGGAGATATCTACCTGCTCCTGGTGAATAGTCGAGTCTATCAGCGTCGCCGCTTCCATCAAAGGAACAGAGCCACCGCCACCGGTATCCAAGACGGCCTGGGCTCCCGTTCCCAAAATGTGATTCCAAGCCTCCAGCGGCTCCACAAACGAACGTACGAACATCTCACAAGCGTTACCGTCGCCCATGCCTGCACCATGGGAAGGTTGAAAGAAACCTCGCTCCTCGCCCGCCTGGATTTCCATCACAGCCTCGCGATGACGCTGCTGCAAGAAGATCTGGTCCTGCATGTCAGGGATCACCTCTCCAATCACCTGCTCCAGCATCTCGTGATCGGTGGAGGGGAAGGCGTTACTCATGTTTTTTTGTTTCACTTGTAAGTGCGACACAAGCTTGCGCAATCGCCAGGAGTGAAGCTTGGCGACGAGCTGCGCGTTCTGCCTCGACCGATTTGCCGCATAGCCGTTGGCATGATCAGGGAGCCGTGGCCGTTCATGTCGAACGAATATACCTCTATACCAAGCTTTGCCGAAAGGGCAATAACAATAAATCAATATCATGGCCTTCGTCCCTCGCTTATCATTACCTTTGCTCAACTGAAACGTGCGTGACCAGTGCCACTGAAAGGGCGTGCGACAGGAGTGTCTGATCTGCGTCAGGATGCCGAAGAGTCGCTCCGCAAACCTCGGACAGGGAACATGTACTCGTCGTCGTGCGCCGCCGTCGTCCTCAAGAGGCCTCCGCGAGCCTCGCGTGTAGCCGCCCTGAGTGCCAACAGCCAGACCTCGCCAGGGGCAGAATGCGGTGGTGCATATCGTCTCCGCGCAGCTTTTTCTGAACACTCCAAGGTGTTCGTCCAATCATCGTAAGCCGCTGTGCCAGGTCGGCCACGCATGTCTTTCCACTCCCCGTCAGGAACGTCCATTTCACGCTGCCCAAGAGCAGCGGCACTAGGTGCACCAGGGCCCAGCACTCGAGTAGCTGCAAAGCCACCGTCGGCGGCGCTGGACTCCATCGTCTCCTGTCACTCGGCCAAGGTGGGGGCATAGGTCGGGATCGAGTTGAAGCGTCGACGCCGTGCACCATGATAGCGAGCGCTGATCTGAAAAGCAATCTTCCATACAGTGCGAGTGTGCCCCTGATCAGATGCTTGCTGTGCTTCGCGTAGGAGCTCTTCAACACGTTCTCTATCCAACCGTAATCTAGCACGCTTGATCTCTCTGTCGCAAGCTCGTAGGCGTAGGCGATCCGCCTCAGTGAAGTTGACACTCATCTGTCTCCGCTTTTCCAAGAGTCTCTCCCGCTCGGCTCGATATTCTTCAGTTTGGCCAGGCCTGCGCTGGTCCACGAACTCCGCTTTAGCCGCTTGACGAACGTCTGAAACAAGTTGAGCCCCGGCCATGGACGGGTCCTCGGCCTGGATCGCACGCCTCCAAAGGGGTGCGCTGCTCTCCGTGCGTCGTTCCAACTCAGCAACAAAAACTCAGGGGCTCCACGCATCTTCAGCGCCTTGCCAAGTGGATCACGATCCCGCCTTACCTCATTCGTCTCGGGCGGAGGCGCTGTCTGCAATATGTAACGCAACTCCCACAGCATTGGGCAGTGATCCCGAAGGTGTGGCGACGGAATACGCTGAAGGTCTCGCAACGCCCGTCGCAGGCACACGCAAGTTTGCGTGGCCTGCACTGCCTCGCACGGTCCCCACAGGTGATCTGGATGTGAGGAGATGTGCGGCTGCGCTCCAAAGTACGTGGGTCCTGTATTATAGAAGGTGTCGATGGCCGCCATTCCCTCCATGCTCATCATGCGCCACAGGGCGGCGCTCACCCCGTTCTCGAAGCTGTGCGCGTACTGGCCCACGTGCACGTCGTCCCTCGTCGCCGTCGGGGTGCCACTCGCTCCCGCTCTCTTGCCAAACTCCGAGTTGGTGTCCGCGCCCACTATCACCATGCTGCGAGCCTTAGCCCGCTGTATCGTCCGATGAAGCCAAGCTGTTAGTTTTGCACACGTGTTCGTCCAATGATCCACCTGATGCCTCTGTGGGGGAGGGTAATCTGCCACGATCACTAATATGTCAAACGTCGGACTCTTCAAGCGTACTGCCCCTCTCCTTCCCGCAAGTTCCTTGGGTTGCTCGATGATCTCCTGGATGTGACCCTGTCGAAATGCGCGACGGCGCAACATAATCGAGCAGTCCGCACTCTTGTTCGTGTAGCGGCCCTTCTGCCACCCGAAATTCACCATCACGTGGCGCTCCAGCTTCTGGAAGGTCGCTGCGTCGCCTGCGCGGCGGCGCTGCTGGGTGCCAGGCAAGAGAACCACATCTGCGAATCTCAAACGAGAAGAAATCTCATGCGCTCTCCATGCATCTGACATCGAGAGTGGATTGTACAGTATCGTTTGAAGGAGAGATGCCACATGGTGGGCGGGAGCGGGGGGCAGCAGGCGAAAGGGTCTAGCCTGCGGGACCTGCTTCCAGGGAGCCCCACAAGGTCCCTAGGTCTGAGCAGGAAGGGGCTTAGGAGGAGGAGGAGGAGGAGGAGGAACATGTGCAACCGATACGATCCAACGCGAGAAGGGTGGGGAACAGACGCGACGTCGGAAGTGCGGGCGATCTCTCTCTCTCTCTCACTCTCTTCTCCACGTGTTGTGTCGCATCAGCGGTCTGCGTTCGCCCTCGCGGACTGTTGCCGTGCGCCCTTGTGCGAACCTCCCTTTCGTGTGCCGCTCAGGTGAAGACGAGACGCTCTACGCCAAGTCCTCCTCCTCCTCCTCCTGTCACTCCTCCGCTTGCTGCCTCAGTGCCCCTCCCGTTCTCCACGCCGTGCCCCCGCGCCCATCTTCTGTGTGCCGCTCAGGTGAAGACGCTCTATGCCAAGTACATGGAGAAGTCGGAGCTGAAGTCTTTTGCCAACCTCCCCCCGGCCAGGCAGTACCACATGACGAACCGCGACGCCTCCATGGGTAAGCGCTGATGCGGGGACGCGCAGCACGTCCTGGCAAGTAGATGTTGAAGCGTTTTTAGAGAGACGAGGCGTCTTGTAACGGCCCTCGCTTCGCAATGAATATCAACCCATTCCTCCTCGTTCTGACTGTGATGCTCCTCCGCCCGGTCCTCTCCGCTGCTGCTCCTCGTCCTCACCCGATCCGATCCCGGTGCGCCCGGATACCCGTCGAGGGCCCAGAGCCGACCTCCTTGTGTCCCAGTGCCGGCTCTGGTCGGGCGCAGGTTGCTTGCGGATGCTGATGTGGTGGCTGGGGACGTCATGGGATGCTCTGGGTCAGACAGGGGCGGTCGGGGCAGCCGAAGGGGATGCGGTGGACGGTTTTGGAAGCGCATGGGGCCATTTTTCCAGCGTCGCCGCCGTCTGGGGCGCTTCACGCTTCGATGTAGTTCCTTGGTCTTGTTCTGTCTTGATTAGCTCGCAGGAGCTCTCGGTCACATCCCCTGAGTTGTTCTTTTCGCCGCCCTGGGTAGTTTTTTGCTGGCCCCGAGGCCCACAAGCAGCCCCCAGAGGGCCAAGCTGCGGCAAAGCCCTGCCGGTCTGGGAGGTTCCCGAGAGGCCCTCCTGGAGGAGGTCGGACCCCCCGGTGGCGACCCCCCTCGGCATGGCCTGGCTGCCTGGGCCGTCTTGGGGACCTCTTAGGGACTCCCCAGAGCTCCGACGTCATGATTTTTTCACAACGCAGGCCCCTGGACCCTGAGATCCTGGCGTCTTAACTTTTTCGAGCTGGGCGCTTTCGTCAGGTTTCGGGCCCTGGGATCCTCATAGTTCGATCCAGCTCGAAACATGGCGCAGGAAGATGGGGTCTAGGGCTCCGGTCGTGAGTTTGTACGCTGTTTCTATTTTGTCGAACCGTCGGATTTCAGGGGAAGCCCCGACCCTCTCCCCAGGGCCGGTTTTGTATCCCAAGTCGTTGTTTGACGGTCCCAGGGCCCAGCGAGGGCCCCTGGAGGCCGAACACTGCCAAAAACCACCCGTGATGAATTTTTCCCAACGCGAGCATGTCTGGGGACCGTGTGAGATCCGACGTTTCGACAAAATTGAAACTTCGCGGGACATCACGACCAAAGCCCCTTCTTCCTGCGGCATTATCCGAGCTGGATCGATCTGTGATGGTATGGGAGCTCGAAACTGGGCAAAAACGCTCCGTGTGAAAACATTGCAACGCCCGGAACTCTGGTGGGTGCGAGAGCGAGTTCGGCAGGTTCGCGTCGTGTCGACCGGCGGCGACCCCGCTGGCGGCGTCAAACGTTGAACGCCGCCGGCGACACATAATCAGTCGACGTTGAACGATCCCCGCGGTGTCAAGAACCAATGCCGAAGTCGGCACGACACGAACTTGCCCAATGTCCAGGGCACGTCTGGGCATGTCTGGGCTGGGGGCTCTCCAGGGCCTCGCGCGGCCGCCGGAGGAGCGCTGGTGGCCGTGCGCCCGCCCCGGTCGTCGTCGTCGTCGTCGTCGTCGTCGCCGTCGTCGTCGTCGTCGTCGTCGTCGTTTTTCGTCGTCGTCGCCGTTTGTCGTCGTCGTCGTGGTCGGCGTCGGCGTCGGCGGCGGCGGCGGCAGCGTCGTCGTCGGCGTCGTCATCGAAACGTCGATCGAGGCGTCGAGGCTGCGTCGTCGTCGAGGCGGCCTCGCGCGGCCGCCAGAGGAGGAGCGCTGGTGGCCCTGCGCCCGCGGCGGCCGCGTGGGCGGCCGCGCCTGGCGTGCGGCGGTCGTCCGGCGCGCGGCGGCGCTCGCGGCCGCCTCGGTCGCTGCCCTCGCGGCCGCGCGGCGCTGCCCGGCTGCCCAGCTGGCTGCGGGCGCGGCCGCTGCCGACGTCGACGACGACGGCGGCGGCGGCGACGATGACGACGGTGGGCGACGGCGGCGGCGGCGGCGACGGCAGCAGTGGCGGCGGCGACGGCGGGCGACGGCGGGCGACGGCGGCGGCGGCGACGACGGCGGCGGTGGCGGCGGCAGCGGGGGCGGCGGCGGCGTGAGCGGCGCCTCGTCGTCGTCGTCGTCGTCGTCGTCGTCGTCGTCGTCGCCGTTGTCGTCGTCGTCGTCGTCGTCGTCGTCGTCGTCGTCGTTTTTCGTCGTCGTCGTCGCCGCCGTTTTTCGTCGGTCGTCGCCGCCGTCCTGGTCGTCGTCGTCGTCGTCTTCGGCGTCGTCGTCGCCGTCCTGGTCGTCGTCGTCGTCGTCGCCGTCGTCATCGTCGTCGTCGTCATCGTCGTCGTCGTCGTCTTCGTCGAGGCGTCGATGCGGTATCGTCGGCGGTATCGTCGGCGTCGCCGTCGGCGTTAGCAAGGCGTCGTCCGCATCGTCGTCGTCGTCGTCGAGGCGTCGTCGAGGTGTCGTCGTCGTCGGTGTCGTCGTCGTCGTCGTCGTCGTCGTCGTCGTCGTTGTCGAGGCGTCGTCGAGGTGTCGTCGTCGTCGGTGTCGTCGTCGTCGTCGTCGTCGTCGTCGTCGTCGTCGTCGTCGTCGTCGTTGTCGAGGCGTCGTCGAGGCGTCGAGGCGTCGAGGCGGTGTCGTCGTGGCGGCGTCGTCGGAGGCGGCTCCCCCCTCCGGCACCAGGCGACTCGCCGCTGGGCCCCCTGGCGGTGGGCCGCAGGCGCCTGTCGGCAGATCTCGAGCACGTGCCTGGCACGGAGGACCCGCCCTACGCCGGCTGCGCAGGCACATCCCGTGCCTGAGGCCTGGGCTTCTGCACTTTTTTTGCGCCGGGCGTCCTCGCCCGGCTTTGGGCACCAGGGTCCTCACAGCTCGATCGATGCTGCAGAAAGGTGGAGTCCAGGGCTCCGGTCGTGATCTTCGCGGTGCCGGCTTTTTTTCGCAGCGTGGGATCTCAGGGAGGGTCCCCTTGGATCTGATCGATCTGTTCGATATCGATTCTGGCGGGCTCGATTTGAGTTGATCTCGATCTTCTGTCGATTTGGTGCGGCCCGATGCTCACATCATGGCGTTGCTGTGCATCCTGGCGCGCCCGATCCAGTCCGATTTCGAATCTGTGCCGATGCAGCCCGATCCGACGCACGTTCCGATTGCATCCGACTCCCCGATTCGATGCTGGCCGAGTTTGCATCCTTGGCCCAGGCCCAGCATCGGTGTTTGCCGGATCACCCGTCTGACATCAGGTCGTCGTGGAAAATGACGCGGGGCACTCTGCGCCCCGCTTCGGGTCTTTTCGAACTATCAAGCATTCTAGGCCTGCTAGATGGGGTCGGAGTAGATGAGTTCGGAGGATCGCGCTGCATCGCCGATGCATCGCCGATGCGGCTAGGTGTGGAACCCAATTTTCTCCGCGCTGGCGTCGCCTATGTATGCATCCCCGATGCATCGCCGATGAATCCCCGGTGCATCGCCGATGCATCGCCGATGTATCGTCGACGCGGCACTATCCTCCGACCCCATCTACTCCTACCCCATCTGGGAGGTCTCTGAGCAAGAGGGTGGGGTCTGAAGCTCTGGCGGTGCTGTTCTTCACGGCGGCGTCGTGCCTTTTGTCACGACGTCGGCTGCCGGGGTCGCCGCCCCGGTTGGGCACGGAGGTCGTCCACAGGATCGCTGGGGCCGGCGTGGGCGTGCATAGCGTTAAGCGACCCGTGGCGCGGGCTCACATGGGGGCCCTCCGAGCGCTGGCTGGCGCGCTTGGATGCCTGGCCCCCCCGGCATCCCCCCCCCCTTTGCGGCCCCCGAGACCGCGCGCTGGAGGCCGCACTCTTGCCCAGAGGCCACTCGCGCACGTGCCCTGGGTTGCGAAACACGTGCAACGTCTGGGGGAAGAACACGACCGGAGCCACAGGCCTCATCTCCCTGCGGCACGTTCTTCGAGCTGGATCCACCTGTGAGGGTCCCGGGGCCCGAGCCCAGGCGAGACCGCCTGGTGCAACAGAAACGACAACGCCCAGATCTGTGGGTGGCGCAGCGTGGGCGTCCTCCCAGAGGACCCCATCACCGACGACCCCGGCCGCACGTGGGCGGAGTTCATCGGCGCCTTCCTGGCGCCGCGCACATGGGGGTATGGTGAAGTCGGGCACGTCCCTCCACAGGGGGACTGTTCGAAGATAGTCAGAAAATAGTCAGGGGACGATTTTTTGTTGAGCATTGTTTTAAGACTTGTTATTTTTCCTCCAAAATCCGCCTGTAGGATGACATGCCCGACCTAAGGGTATGGGGAGGGGAGAAGGCTTCGTAGGAGGAGGCTGCTTCATAGGAGGCGCGGGCCTCATCTGTAGATGTGAGGCCCGCGCCTGCTAAGGAGCAGCCTCCTTCTAGGAAGCCTTCCCCCCTTCCCCCCCCCCCTCTGCGCGCCGCCAGCCTTCGTCCTCATTTGGTGCCTGGCGGGCGCCTGCACGCTCGCGTGGCAGGCCGCGAGGTCCTGCGAGTGCGAAGAGGCCCTGCTGGGGCCGCCACCGGGGGGCGGCGACGGCGCGGCCGAGGAGCAGCTGGAGCTGCGGGCTGGGCGCCCGCTGGAGGATCTCGAAGAAGAGACAGCGGCCTTGGCATCGTTCGGACGTGTGCAGCTTTTCCTGGCGAGCACCCTCGGGGAGCATCTTGACTCATCTGGCGAAAAATACACGCCCGAAGTCGAAACATGCACGGGGAATGGGCGTCCGAGCGATGGCGAGCGGCACAAGCATAAACTTTCGGAGCTCCGCGCGGATTTCTCGGACTGGCAATGGACTCACTTACTTGGAGCGCAGAGCGCGCCAGGGGCGGCGCCGGAGGCGCCGCCATGGGGCTCCAGCGCAGATCCAAGGAACCCACGCGGACCTCCGAATCTTTACGCTTATGCATTTTTTCTTCCTCTAGGAGCGGCTGGCCACCGAGGCTCAGAGGGGGAATAGGTACCGATACCGCTACCCTGGCCTCGTTTTGGCTTTCTTGGGCCTCCTGGGAGGCCCTTGTCGCCACGGCTGGGTTCTCCTCGAAATTCTTGTCAGAACGCACCCCAGGAGGTCCGGGGAGTCGCGGTATCGGCACTTGTTGGTTTCCCAGACCCTGGGTCTGACGTTGGGGAAAAATGCAACATGGTGAAAGTTGCGACCAGAGCCTACACCCCATCTTCCTGAATCAGTTTCCGAGCCAGATCGATATGCGATGGTCCTAGCGGGCCCCCAAACTGGGCGAGCACGCCAGGGGTGAAACACATTTGGCGGCGAGTCGGGGAGGGGAAGTGAGAGCGGGCAGGCCTTCTCAGAACGCGGCGGGGCTTC